ACCCCCCACAAAACGCACCAATACCTGGAAAATCCTCCGCCTCTGCGGAGTACAAGAAATAACAACCTCAGAATGGAACCAAGGAATACCTCTCGACGAAAACAAAACCACAAACCCCCATTCCCATTCTCACTCCCACTTCCACTCCCACTCCCTCCCCCTCCTCCTATCCCCAAAACCCCACTGGAAACACATGTCATGGATTCCTCGACCCATAGGCGATATAAATATAGATATAGATATAGAATCTCTTCCCAGCAGTCGCAACACACCATACAGAAACAACAGCAAAATAAAAATAACACAAAAATGGACAGGAAATACAGGAGAAGATGCGAATGGGTTTGGATATAGGGGGAGGCTTGGGGGGCAGAGTAGATTACCGGGGATGATGAGTTTTTTGGGGGCGGTTTTGGGGGAAGGAGGGAAAGGTGAAGGAGAAGAGGAAGAGGGGAAGGGAAGGGTAGGGAAAGAGATTAGATGTGAAGATGGAGAGGATTTGTATTTAGAATTTGGTGTTTGGTGGTAGACTAGGGCTTGGTTATGGGTATGATTATGGGCATGATGTGGGTATCTAATATAATCATACCGGAATCACACACACCAAAATAACACGAGATTTTTCTAATATTTCCGCTCAATTTCAATAACTACCTATCCTCATTTATTGCCTGAAAAATGCCTTCAGGAATGCATTCATTATTTACCGGTCACTGTTCAGTCCGACTCCATTTTAGGATATCGTCTACAACCTTTAAAATATTTTATCATATCGTATCATATTGTATCACATCATGATATGCATTAATGCATCTGCGCCTATTTAAGTCATATCATAGTCATATCATAGAAACATAGATTTCTTCCCGTACCAGCTTATGAAAACACCTGCCAATGAAACGAAAAGGAAAGAAGAGAAAAACAAATGAAAAATTGATAAAAAGACCAAGACAACTCCGTATCATCGATGAGAAACCTGCAAATTTTCCCCCAAGATCCCATAGTAACTTGGAAGTAAATCCCATACTACGTATTATTCAAATGGCCGTGGTATGTTAAATAAAAAGAGACCTAAACACCATTCTCCCCATTATCTCTCCGTTCACGTCTTTGATGAGATCGACGAGCCAATTCCTCAGAACCATAGACATCGCGAAAAGCTTCAAGTTGGCCAGTTAGACCCCTTAACATTCGAGACATCTCGAAAGCCATTTCTTCGTGAGCTGCTTCGCCCGTTAATGCGCGCACGGAAGGAGCATTAGGTAAATAGGGAAAATGTGCCATAGTGTATGGAGTGTTCGGGTCGCGAGGATGACTAGTTGGTGGAGGAGGTTGGATTGAAGTGGTTGAAGCGGTTGCGTAGTCTGAGTCTGTATCATTTGTATCTGTGATGTAACCTAAAGTGCTTTCAGCGGCCGAGTCTGAAAAGTCTGAAATATCAGCTATGTCACGAAGAGCGTTGCCGGTTCGAAGACGAGGAGGACGATCTGCACGAAGTGGACGTGATGTACCTTCAGGAGGAGGAGTGACTGAGGCCGAGAAAGATCCCATTTCTTCAGTTACATAGATGGAGGGTTCACGCTCGTGAGAGGTGGCATATATGGAAGGCTCGCGTTCGTGAGCGGTGGTGTATATGGAAGGTTCACGCGAGTGGGAAGGTGCATATAAAGAAGGTTCGCGTGAGTGGGAAGGTGCATAGAGTGAAGGCTCGCGTGAGTGAGAGGTAGGTTGATACAATGAAGCATGACGCTCGAGTTCGAATGGATTGACCGTAGATGATGACATGGCTTGTCCTGAGTCGCTCAAAATCGAAATAGCATCAGAATCTGCTGTTGAGGGTCGACCAAAGTCAGGATTAAAAGCTGGTATTGAATCTGGCATACTCATATCTAGATCAATGAGGGATTCGCGAACGGATAAGCGAGACATTCCAGTGTGAATTTCTGCAGGTGGAAGACCACCACTGAATCCACCTAAAGGTTCAGTAGGATGATGAATCAATGCAGGACGGCCACCAACGCCTGGAGTAAAGGCTGGTTTTGGGACCTCGTAAGTTGAAGGAGGAAATCTGGAGACTTCTGGATCTGCTGATGCAGGTGGGACCATTGCTGGAAATTTCCAATCTCGGGTACGACGATTTGGGTTAATATCAGCGGGATCGCTAAGTGCTGGTCGGCTAAAGTCAGGTAATGTGGTCATATAGTCTTCATCAGGTTCGTCCCGTACACGTCTTCCAGCTTTGATAGTATCCATATCCGGAAAGACAGATATACCCGTTTCTGCATCATGACCTCCAAGATCAATCATAGTATCCCTAATAGATGTTTGTGCAGTATCATCACGTAAAGGTAAATCCGAGCGAGATGGTACAGGTGGTAAATCTGAAGTTGGTGGTAAGAACGGGCGACCATAATGATTGCGACTATTATCCTCATAACTTGACAGTGTATTTGGGTCAAATATCTTTTCTAGTGGGCCACGAAGTGGTGCTAGTGCTTCTGGCGGAGGTCGACGTCTTCCTTTTGGAGGTGGTGGACGGGCAGTCTCTTGAGGAAAACTAGCATCAAATTCAACATTTGAGCCATAAACATCGTAGACATCTTGGGCGGTCGATTTACGCCTGACTTCCTGTTCGAAAGCAGCAGTAGTACTGAAATTCCATTCATCATCAGACAAAGCCGTAGAAGAGAACTCCGACGGTGCTTGCGCTCCCCCTAACATAAAGAGTGATTTTCTACTCCCGCCATGATCCTCCCACAATTTAAATGCTCTGACGAGATGGGAGAGCGAAGACATAGGGTATTTTGCACTAGTGTTGTGGATGTAAGGATGATTCTGAACCCGGTCAATTGAAGGACGTTCACTTGGAAATTCTTCCAAACAGAACGCCACAAGGTCTCTTAAATCGTCTGAATAATCCCCTCCTTCAAGACGCGGAGCATGTTGTTTTATAAGGGAACCAAGTCGATCAAAAGGAAGTCGACTCATGGCATTAGGCGGTAGACCAGTGGCGATCTCATAAACCATACAACCGAACGCCCAAATATCAACTTCTTTGCCATAGCTGGGAACAGCATCGAATAATTCTGGTGCCATCCAATGTGGTGTACCAATAACGGTCGATCTCTTGTCGACCTTCGTTTCTATAGTTCCGGCAACACCAAAGTCGCAGAGCTGAACCGCTCCTTCCTCTGTAATAAGAACATTCGCACATTTTATATCTCGATGTATGATACCAGCTTCGTGTACCCATTTAATAGCTTCGGCAACCTCACGAAGAATTGGTATAATCCATTTTTCTTGCAAGCCACCAGGAGCGGTAGGCTTCATTAGAGTAGCAACACTTCCTCCACCACAGTATTCCGTAATCATCCACATCGCTTGCCCAACTGGCAGTGCCTCGATGACATGATTGATATTCCTAGCTTTATTTTCACTTAAAGTTTTCAAAGCGGTAATTTCTTTCAAGAATTCGGCATAGGAATTGGCATTCTTGGGATTGATCGTATCGCTCTCTTCAATGTCGATGATCTTCACGGCCACAATGGCAGCCGATACCATATCCTTTCTGTATAATAAATTAATATATTGCCAAAATGACCAAAAATGAATGATTAAATACCCTTTGTAAACACGCCCAAAACTCCCCTTTCCAATTAATTCTATTAACGCATATTTTGGTGGCTCCTTCCCTGCTTTAGTTGCTGCCTCAATTACTGAAGTTTGCATTTGCCTTGCATCCTCAATAGCTTTTGTCTTGACCGAAACCGGTTCGGAATTTCCGACTTGGAGTTGGTCCATTGCGGCAAAATGGACTCCTAAAGCTATGAGGCTAATGTCGAAAGGACTGCTGGTTTGATGGCAGGGTTAGACTTTCAGATGTGACGTTGATTCCTGGAACCGGAAGACGAGACTCAGAAGAGTTTATTTCTCGGTTTGTAGTTGTTTTGGAATGATTGCGAACAGAAGTTGATTGTGTACCTGCCACTGATGTATTATTGCGGGGTGAAAGAGCTGGTTGACGGATTGAGGAGGAAGGTTGTCGAAGACGCGAGCTGATAAGTGGCTCTTGATTCGTGGGTGAGCTATTTCGCGACCAGTTTTGTGGTGCTCCCAATCCAGAAGGAGACAACTTTGCTCTGTCACCTTGGGACGAAAGAGCAGGTGCCTGGAGCTCCCTTGGAGAACTTCCAGGTTGGGGTAATTGGGAACGATATGCTACCTGAGTTACTGGAGTATTTGAATTTCGCTGTGGAGAATTTAGCAGAGAGTCAAAGCCGAAAGTATGGGCACCTCTAGAAACTGGAGAGCCAGTAAAGATGTTCCGGTTATTTTGAAGTATATCCACGCGCAGTCTATCACGTTCGACAGAATTGGGTGCAGAAATAGCTTGCTGTTCTCTGGAAGGACCGAGGATAGTAAGAGCAGGTACTTGTCTGGCAGGATTGACCGCGGTAGGCGCGTACAATTCTCTGGTAAATCCTGTAGGGGCATTCAACTTCTTGGCAGTTGTCGCTGGAACGGAACTGTTACTTTCGTCTGGTTCAGGTTTCTTACGAAGATTACCGTCTGGATAGTGTATTGCGCAAAGATTTTTGACTTCTCCCTCTTCAAGACTATTTCGATCTCTGTTATATAAGATAAGATACCTGAGACGAGCAGTGTTGACTGGATTTTGATCTGGTTGGCGAAGTGAAAGTGACGTTGGGGACTTGGCTTGCTTTTCGGCTTTCTTTTCTTGGGATTGAGGCAGAAAAGCTTTAGATTCTTGATGAGCTTTGATAGCTGCTTTACGCTGTTCTCTACGCGCTTCTGCCCGTTGATGATTAGCCGTAAGCTGAGCTTCCTGTTTCAACGTGACTTCTTGGTCAATTGATATCTTCTTCTCAGGGACTTTCTCAGAAGTTGAGCCCTGGGAATAGACACGGCAAACACCCCCTGTGTCACAATCCTCGGCTTCGTGCAAAGCGAGCGTATCAGAACTGATCCACTTATCCGATTCTTCTCTAGTGTATTGTCCACTAGCGGAAGAAGCGTTTGATGAAACTCTTTGTGATTGCCGACTTGGCGCGGTTTGAATTCGTTGCGCGGCAGCAGACTGTCTACTTGTCTGGTGATCTGCTTTGGAATTTTGTGGATCGCGCGAAGACGAATTTTGAGTTCTGGATCCAAATAAACCTCTACGCTCGCGCGGATGAGAATTACCAGCAAAACGAGTGCTTTGCAGAGACGATGCGGTTGGTGGGGATGGGTGCGAGCCACCACGTACTTCAGAAAGTGGCAGTGCGCCACTTGTCACGTGAGAAGTATACTCACCACCGTTTCTCGTGCTTCTTCCACCGAATCCTCTCGTATCGTAGAAGTCTCCTGCTCCTTCGAGACCATCAACGTCTCGCAGAAGATTGTTACACACGAGGAGAACGGCTTCGTTGGCTCGTTCTGCTTGTTCTCTTTCCTTCAAAATACGTTCTTCATTGGCCTCTTCGGACAAAGTAGCAATGTATTCCGCTGAGGGTTTGCGGTAATGGTAACCAAAGTCGGACTTTTGTGAAGGTGTAAGAGCATCATAATATGGCCTTGGAATTGATTCTTGACTATGAATACCCTTTGGTGTACTATCAACCACAGGTCCGCGAGCCGAGGAATAGCCGCCGCTTGTTCCCTTGTCCTGTCCCTGTGCACTCTCCTTCCGATCAGGAGTAACTCTTGCAAATGTTTGTCTTGTTCTTTTTGTCTTCCCCAATTCACCCCCATAAGGTTCCTTGTGATGTGAATGAAGAGCTTTTCTGGAGTTGCTGTAGTTTTGATTGATTCCTGTATTAGATCTTAAAGGATCATCAACAGCAGAATTGTTCTGGTTGCTCTACAAACAAACAAGGTCAGTAATTGTTGTACTATTGGATTTTGTCCATTTCAAACCAAATAGTTCCAAATAATGGTAGGCAGGTTAAGATAAGTTAATTTGCAACCAAGGTAATTAATCCATTTGAATAGTAAACGAATAACATTGGGATGTCAAAGGAATATGAATGAAACTTACAAACCCCCTCAGAAGATTGACAAAAGCCTCTTCTACCTCTGATGAATCTCTTTCACAAGCGCTTCGTATTGCTCCCTCACTGTCTTCCCTTGTCACTTCTTCTACTGCTGATCTAAAGAATTTAGAGAACTTGGTCCTGAATCTCGACTGTGGCCTGACAAGAGGATCACCGGGATCATCCTGCAAGTTCTGTAAGGCAATGTTAGTCAGCAACAGCGTTTACATCTTTAGTTTCATCTGCAAAATCAACGTCAAACTTACTCTCAGGGAACCATATTTATCTCGATGCTCTTGCCTCTTCTTTCTTAAGAACTTCATTTTCTCCTTATGCTCTTCTCGTAGTTTGTTCAACTCGGCCTGATACTTGGCAAGCAATAAATTATTATCTGCAATGAGTTTATTGGTGATCAAAGTGTCTTTGACGGTATAAGTAAAGGGATTTGATTGTGGTTGACTTCTCAGTGGTGATTTTGGGGGGATGGGAGGTGCTGGTGTATTTGATACCAGTAAAAGGTTGGTGACTGTATCATAAGATGCAGTGCGGAAATCTTTGACTGGGCTAGTCTGGTTGTGGAAGTTGCTCGAAGGGAGGCTAGAGTCTCTTCTAGCAAGATTTGGAGGGAATTGCTTAAAAGAATTTGGACTAGATTTTGGACTTTCATCCACAGATTCTGACATACTCCAATATGCTTGAGTACCACCCTCAGAATTTTCCATTGCTTTGTTATCAATCTTTTGAGGGACTGAAAGTATGCCTCTCAATGCATCATCCTTCTTACATTCTTGAACTTCGCTTCGTCGTGTTTCCGAAAGAAACAATTGCTCAAGGTCATCTTCACTACGGATTGTCCTTCTATTGCACCTTCTTCTTGAGTGTTCATTGATTGATTTTCGACGTAGAACAGGCTGGGGATAGTAAACTTCATAAATCGCAGATAAATGCTCGGAGCCAGCTACATTTCCCGCTGCCACAATACTACTATCAAGATCACTGTTGCCAAGCTCCGTAGTATCAGATGTATCATTTGTATCATAGTCCGTACTTGGGATGGTAAATGATTCAACTGACTCGGCAAATGTTACCGATAGCTTTCGACGTGGCTTTTTATGGGAGCACAAATTGCTTTGATGAAGAAGCTTGTGTGGCACGATCTCTTTCGATGAGCAAGGCGTAGTTTCTCCTGTTAAGTCTTCGATAGAGGTTTCTGTGCTGTCTTTCAGTCGAGGAATCTGCCTTGGCTTTCCAAATGCATGGTCCCATTCATGTGGTCGTGATTTTTCTGTGGGTAGACTTTCTCGGGGCTTCTTTTCGGCAATCTTAGGAGTAGCAGCAAAATTGAGAGGCATAGATTCGGATCGATTCTCTCGTGTTTGTCTTTGACGCGCAGGTTCTAGGAATGCCCTCCGAGTGATCGGCGGTGCTCTTCCAATCTTAGGATCATTGAATTGCTGTCTTCCTTCCAATCGTAATCTTCTTTCCGTCGCCTTTCTAAGCTCAAACTCAAATTGCGCCTGCCTGATGTGCTTCTCCCGTTCTTCTGTTGTCTCAGCGAGTGCTTGAAACTCGCAACCCAAGATTGCCCCCCTTTTATCCAATTCATTATGTTGGCTGAGATCCTTGGCTGGCGCAATTGGTGGAATGTACCTAGCTGGAGCCGGGGGAGGCCGGTCAAATCTGTAGCCTAGCCTTGGGGTCGCCACTGGTTGACTTCTATCCAGAGGTTTGTGGACAACTTTCTTCTTTGGTTTAAACAATCTCTTCAGCTTGGCTTTCAGGGGATCCCTGTCACGGATTTTGTTGTTTAGACCCTTTGGGAGGTAAGCGAACGCAGGGTCGGCATTGCGGTTTTCTTTGCGGGCGACTCTGATCGCCTTCTTGCGCGCCTCTTTTTCTTCCTTTGTCGGTCCTGAAGATCCTTCAATGGTAGTACCCGATATTGATGAAGATTCAAACGAAGCCCCTCTTGAGGTTTTGGAGCGCGTCGTGTGTACCGAGACTGCTTTGACTTTTGAGGCTATCGTGGTAGTCGATGATTTAGCTTCAGAGATGTCGCCAATCTTTTCCAAGCGGGTCTCTCTGTGGGAAACGCTGGCTTGCTTCCTTGGGATATCTCCCCTGGCTGGACCTCTGGGAAAACTTCCAGAACCAGAATACCGTACCTGAGGTCGTCTTGCAGACGGCGGCCTCTTCCCAGGCGGTCTCCGAGTCGCCATTGGCGGTGGCAGCTGGATGGAAAAGCTTTGATATTGTTACAGGTATAAAGTGAGTGATAATTTGATGGTCAGAATTACAATTGCAATCAAGTAATGAGAGTTGTATAGAAGAAAAGCTTATATCGTGTAGACAGAAGATAGACTAGTTTCATGCGGAAAGCTATAAAACTATAGACTCGTTCAAATCGAGTTGGAAGAAATGTGGTGAGAATATTTCGGGTGAGTAGAAGCTTTGTGTTAATGATATCCTGGGGTAGCGCGACTTGTTTCTGTAGGATTTCATCTTAGCCTTGGCTTGGGTTGGGATGAAAGTAAACAATAAGAGCCTCCGGCATCTGGATATATCCCTTTCTATCCTTCGAGCCACTATCAATACCTTGACAAAATTGGTTTACATTCTATATTCTCGTTTACTTTCTTGTTACAAAGGATGAGCTCTGAATCACTTTCCTTCTCCCAATTGCCCAGGTTGAAAGGGACTTTGGTAGCTAATATACTTCCCTTTGGGACCTTCTCCTGGTCTGATAATGATCACTTCAGCCTTATGTAGCCTGACAACTCTCCTCGTAAAATGGTACTGCCCAAAGTGATATAATATAGACTCCCTACCTCAGGCAGGGACTGACAAGGGTTCGAGCTGTAATACAATTCACACTCAAGATACAACGTTATTAGTTAATCTCACCATCTCTCGAGGTGCTGATTGGGGTCTTTGCCGAGCAGAGATTTCCATTTCCCACTTAGCGTTTCATAACAAAGACTTTATAGTTGCTGCTCCTCCTTTTCTAAACCTATTAAACACTTCTAAGTCACTGTATCTGTCTACGGAATAACAACTTCCTCGACAACCTCTTTTGGATATATCTTTTATTTGATTCATCATGTCAACAACACTTACTACCTTTCCTTTTGAAGTCTTACCTATTTTCGAAGAAGTTCTTGTTTTGGAAGCAGTTGAGACCCCAAAGATCCGCTGCGACCTTGCTGCTTTGCAGTTCAAGTTCAGTTAGCAAAGGTTGCTTGTAAGTAATACTTTTCTTCTTCCACTGTCCCCTCCCCTCTCATCTACTCCTTAAATACGAAGGGAGTTTGTTCTCATTACCGTGGTTGGTTTGTAAGTCATTTGTTTGAGCTCTTTAGCAGAAAGAAAGCCTTTTATGCTACTGTCACAGTGCATTAATCTCAACTTCCTCCATGAGAGCACCTTCTTCACTATTACTAAACAGCAGATGAGCAAAAGGCTATTCTCACTCAACAGTCTTTGTTGCGAAGTCAAAGAGCACAGCTGTTGATAGATCTGTTGTTGTGCTGATTAATTACCTCTTCTTTTTGGTTCAGGACTCTCAAAAACTTACCCGATCTGTCTGGTATCTTGCTAACACCTTAAAACAGACCTTAGATCATGTACAGTTCGACAAGCCGACGTCCTCGAAAATAGTCACATCTTCCATAATCATAGACCTTCTGCTGCTCTTGCTGATGGCCAAGCCAGAATGGGATCAGCACTCGGTAAGTTCTTCGTTCAAATTACAGTCATGCAACATAATATATATTGATACCATCTAGCTCATATAGTTTATCGACCCTGCTAGACACAATACTCTGTTGGTCTTGACGTTAGCCGCTGGTCAGTCATGCTTGTAAGAACTCAGATCGTGGTAAGTTTCTCTTCAAGTTCTGCCTATCTAATAGCTGCTAATAACTTACAGTCACACCCCGAAGCATCGAAAGCATGTCGATATTCTTGCTGCCAGCCGTTGATCGGTAAAGCTCGCATGATATTGAAACTTGGTAAGTTGGTATCAAGCTTGAAACATATAATTGTAATAGATACTAATACCATCTACAGATTCTTTCTTGACATAAACGATATCGATAAGGCTTCAGTTGATTGAGTGTCCCTTCTGTCTTGTCCCACCTCGAAGACGTCGAACACTTCGGACACTATGAAATTCGAAGAAAATGTCACACCTTAGACCACAGCAATACCTACCTATCTACTCTTACAATATATGGTATCATGGTAGTACAGTTGCTGCCCATTAACGAAGGCTTCCTGGCTGTCCCATTCTTTGATGTTCATACTTCAGTCTTTGTTACCCAGGCACATACTCAACCTGATTCCTTCATGGCAACGGCTGCTCTTTTAAAAATGGTGGTGTTGGTCCCGTTAACATAAACAAGGCCAGATAGCTAGGCTTCAACTGCGTTCTCTCTCTGTGCTTTGAACAATTCGTACTGGCGGTAACAACCACCTGGCACATCTTTGTTGTCGAAGCATTGTCACCAAACCGACATCCCATTCATGATGCTGTCGTTGTTTTTTCAATCATGTACAAGGACCATGGTCGTCCATGTTGGAGCAGTTATGCTCTTACATCTAAGCCTCATAGTCTTTGTGCCACTATGCAGACGCTATCTTCACAAGAACAAGACAAACCACCTCTTGATACCTCCAATATCAAAGAACGTTAAGTTCAATTTAGCTGAAAACTGCTCAAGCAAAATATCTTGTTGAACAAACTTGAAGCTTATTCCGAGGCACCTCCATATCCTTGTTGCTTGAGATCCACTCAAATCAGGCGAATATAGTCAACTATCTCTGACATATCTTATGCTCATTGCCCCTCTTCATCAAGGGACGAGACCAATAGTGCGACTTGACAGAAATGCAAGGACATAATATTGCAGCAAGATATCTATGCGCGTTGGCATGCAACACCAAACAATAAGTGGCCTCAACCGCCTCTTTCCAGCAAGTGGTCCACGAGCAAGAGATTTTAATTTGGTACCCGGTGCCTCCACATTGACCTTCGCAGCTTGGAACGCTCTTGTTAACGAGTTTCAGCATCAATTCAACCTTGAATTCGAATTACATGCTGACATGCAGACAATTAATACTAGTCAGCAAGAGCGTTCCAAGCTGTAGCCTTCCATCAGGATGGTCTGACAAACATGATCGTTGCATCGCATTTCTATGCAGATGCACGGTCCCGTTAGTCAGGGCCCATGGTGCTTCTCAGCCCATGAACCAGTTCACCGATTTCACGTAATACACGTTGTGTTATTGGATGTCTTTCCAGAAAGTGGGACATGGATCAGTTCAATGAACAGAGCAGCACCAGTGGTTTCCTGGTGCATTGTCTAGCTTTCCCCGGGGATGTGTTGCTGAAATCTGGCAGCCCAATTCCCCAGGCTATTCAATATATGACTACCAATCATTATGGTCTGGGCCCTGGGGAAAAGCAAAGACATCACCTGCGTCAAGATTCCAACTTCCTGCTTGGAGGAAATGCAAGATTATCCCATTGGTCACTCTTTGGGTAATCTTATGAAAACTCTTTCCAGCAACTGGGCCATGCTACAGAGTCCAGAGAGGAGGAGATGGCTCAAGGGGCTCCACCTTCAGCATCCAATTTAACAGAAGGTGGGGTCTCCCACACATCTCTAGATCCGGCTAGAAAATCCTGGCTTGGTCAACCATGGTCAGTCAACGGTATCTCTCTCAATTCATCACCCACCAAGAAACCGCCCAAGTCTAGACCACTCTTTTCTGGGGGGGTTGATATTGTGCGGTTTCTTGGCGGATGGTAAACAAGAGAGATTTCCGTCGCTTTCCAGTAGTTGGCCAGGACTCTACGAATATAGCACGGCTGAGTCTTGAGAATGCACCCACAACGAGTGCATGCTCAAGAGCCAGCAGCGCGAAACCAAAGAACAGGAGTTGCGGAGCGGTGGAGATTTTCAATCTTAGAGCGCCACTGGTCCGGGATGACATAAAACTACGACGAGGTGTGTGTGTTTCTGGGCTGGGAGCGTCCTTCAGGCGTTCAAATTGCTCTTGAACACTCCAACTCGTTCTCAATCTAGGACATAAGAGAAGGAAATGGCTGGTACAACCAAGTTTCACCAGTTTAATCGGACTCCATTAGCTACAGAACAATGTTTGTACTGGTCGTTGCCTTTTCTTCTGTCCTAGGTTGGGAACGAGTCCCTCATCGTGAGGAATTTGAAAGCTCTGGGAGAGGTGGAGGGTGGGCT